GCTTTGCCAGTGTCCAATTACCTGAAGGTAACAGGCCATAACCCAGAGTCTATGAATATCAAGCCTGTGTCCTGTACTGTACGATTAAGATATAGAATTTCAAGTACACATCGTGGTCAGCTAGAAGGTATAATTTCAATATATCTTTTCAAACAGTCATTGCCCTAGATCCAGGGTCTATTTATGTAGGCTCATATTCAACCTGTTTTACCTAACACAACCAACCTGGTTTAGGCTGCAAACGGAACACTTTAGTATAAGAAATTTGCTGATCACTACACACTTGCAAATTAGGTTATGAGAAGATAAAAGTTAATTTATTATATTTTGTGACCAGGCTCTATCTCTTCATGTATAGGCATCCAAAGCAGGACTAACTAATTATCCTTGATGTACTGACTGAACATGTGAGACATCTTAGCTCTTTACTACAATGTCTCCAAACTCCATAAAGCAGTGGCATTTTACACTGATCAGCCATAACTTCATGACCAACAACTTAATATTGAGTAGGTCCCCCGGTTGAGGCATGGATGCCACTAGACCTCTGAAGGTATGCTGTGATATCTGGCAGCAAGCCACCAGTAGCAGATTGTTTAAATTCTGTAAACTGCAAGTTGGAGCTTTCAAGCATTGGGATCCACCACATCCTACAGATGCTCAACTGGATTGAGATCTGGAAAATCAGGAGGCCAAGTCAACACTTCAAACTTGTTGTTATATTCCTCAGACCATTCTTGAACCATTTATCCAGTGTGGCAGGGCACATTATCCTGCTGAAAGAGGCCACTGAAATCAGGGAATGCCATTTCCACAAAGGGTTGTATTTAGTTAGCAACAATTGTTTAGGTGGGTGGTATATGTCAAGTAACATCCACATGAATAGAAGGACCCAAGGTTTCCCAGCAGAACATTACCCAAAGCATTACACTGCCTCTGTTGGCTTGCCTTCTTCCCATACTGCCTTCTGGTGCCATCTCTTAACCAGAAAGGTAACGCACACAGAGCCACCATCCACATGATGTAAAAGAAAACATGATTCATCAGACCAGGTCACCTTCTTCAATTCCTTTGTTGTCCAGTTCTGATGCCCACATGTATAATGTAGGTGCTTTTAGCTGCAGACATGGATCAGCATGGGCACCCTGACTGGTCTTTGGCTTTACAACCCCCATATGCAATAGACTATGATACCCTTTTTTTCTGCTTTCAACTTATCAACTTCTGGGACATGTTTACTTGCTGCCTAGTGTATCCCATCGTCTTTCAGATGCCATTGTAATGAGATAATCAATGTTATTCACTTAAAGTGTTACTAAACCCACAACAGTAAAAATCTGTCTGTAAATGCACTAAAGCATGCTTGTTATACTCCCTGTGGAACTTAAGGGGTTAATCCTCTGAATTGTGTAAAAAAGCTGTTTGATCCTGTTTTCTCTGATCCTCCCCTTCTTATCTCCTGATAAGAGATATCGTGTGGAGTCACTCTGTACATGCTGTTTTGTGTGTATTGCTAGAGAGGTTTTTTTTATTTCTTGGGAGAGTGCATGTGATCATCACAGAGCCAATCAGCATGTCCAGACCGAGGTCAGGGGTCCTACATCCTCCTACAGCAGAATGAAAACTCCTTCTACAAGTTTTAACGTGCTTGGCTGGACACTGATAGAAGTCACAAGACTGCTCTAACTGCTGATGAGAAAAGGTATTTAGCAGTTTATATTTACTAAAATAATTGCATTCCCATGTTCTGTGTACTGTGGGAGACCAGATATAGTGAATGCAGGGTCCTGGGTTTAGTAACAGTTTAACCTATCAGTGATCATAAAGTTATGACTGATCAGTGTATCTTTGATATTGACTTCTCGTTGTGCCAGATGTCAATATACAGATCAGAATTTCCTTCCAATATCCATATGAATCTTTTGCACTCCATGGATGTTCTACACCAGCCCACCAGAATTAAAGCTAAATTCTAAGCAGATAAAAATTGTAGACATTAAAAGTAATTAGTGTAAGTACCCACAATTTGTCTTAATATTATCCTTCTGTGATCCTATGTACAAAAGAAACACAAAAGGGAAATTTACTAAAACTTGAGAAAACAGAATCAGGAGCATCTGTGCATAGTAACCAATCAGCTTCTTACTTCAGCTTGTCCAGTTAAGCTGTTATAATGAAAACTAGTAGCTCACTGGTTGCCATGCAAAGCTGCGCCAAATTCTGGCTGATTTAGTAAATTCTTCTCAAAAAGCCTATGTATCTCTTCTGCAGCCCTTCTGCAAGGCACATGTACTGACAGGAGCAAAGTAATGATTATCACTGTTCTGCTGTTCCTTCACAGTCCAATCAGCAGGTAGGCATGCATTCTTGATCAATCTGTTGCAGTGGTTTTGAAGGATTGTCTGGCACAGAAATCTGGCTGAATAGAGATACAAATTCTATGGCAAACAAAATGGAGCCTATGTTTAGATTTCACATTTCCATTCAGTTTCTTGCCTAGAGTTCAGCTTTAAGAGTCTGAAGAGTCTGGACAACAAGATTAACAACAGCATTGTATATGTCAGCGAATAAATGACATAACTCTAGATTTTGATAATGTGTTTAGGGTAAACATATTTTACATTAAGACTGCTGCATTACACCTATAACTCAAAACAGAATTAGCATGATTGTGTAGGGCTTCTACAATCCTAATCAGAACAAAAATGAAAAACTATTCATTTTAAAGGCCAAGTTTACCTATAGTAACATGTTACATCTCTATTTAGGGTGTAATATGTAACATGTTACTAAAGCAGCAACACCACATCACCCTTCCCAAACCCCCATGGTAACAACAGGGCAGGGATCCTCTTCCCACTCCAGCTGTCACAATTTAAAAACAGCGCAGCTGTGCAGAACTACAGGCCCCATCTACCACTGCAGAAGATGGCTTCAATGAACTGTCTGGGTATTAGTGCACGCCCTTGTATTTCATTGATTCTTCCTGCTTTTCAGTAACTGTCTGCCAGTACCTCATTCACCATCCACGAGATTGCCAATCACTTCCAAAATAAGATCGACGCAATCCGTAAGGACATTGCCAATGCTCAACCTACCTAGCCTCCCTCCCACTATAACCCCCATCAACTCCCCCCCTCTGACCTCGCAACCACCCTACCCCCCACCACACCTAACATCCCACACACTATAACCTCCCCAACACTCCGCTCCTTCAGCCTTGCTACCACTGAGGAGGTCACTAAGGTCTTCTCAGAAGCCCGCCTCACCACTTGCCCCCTTGACCCTGTCCCCACACAACTCCTCTGGTCACCCTCCTCCTCTATCCTACGCTCCCTCACCCACATCTTCCATTTCTCCCTCTCTACTGGCGCATTCCCCTCCCCCCTAAAGCACGCGCACATCACCCCCATACTCAAAAAACCCTCCCTGGACCCCACCGACCTGAACAACCTTAGACCCATCTCCCTGCTGCCATTTACTTCCAAGCTCCTTGAGCGCTTAGTCTACAATCGCCTGAACGCCCACCTCACTGACAACAACCTCCTCGATCCACTATAGTCTGGCTTCCGTCCCCTACACTCCACCGAAACCGCCCTACTCAAAATCACTAATGATCTGCTAACCGCCAAAGCTAATGGCCACTACTCAGTCCTCTCACTCCTCGACCTTTCCGCGGCCTTCGACACAGTTGACCACCCCCTCCTCAATGAACTACACTCCCTCGGCATCAGAGATTCCGCTCTCTCCTGGCTCTACTCCTATCTATCCCAAAGCTCCTTCAGCGTTACCTATAATGCTACCACCTCCCCCTCTCTGTTGGGGTCCCCCAAGGCTCTGTCCTCGGGCCCCTTCTCTTCTCCATCTACACCTCCTCCCTCGGCAAACTAATACACTCCCACGGCTTCAACTATCACCTCTACGCCAATGACACGCAAATTTACCTCTCCCCCCCTCGCCTCACCCCTTCAGTCTCCACCCGTATCACCCACCTACTGAACGACATATCAGACTGGATGTCACTACATTTCCTCAAATTGAACCTTTCCAAAACCGAGCTCCTGATTTACCCCCAGCCCGTGCCCTCCCCCCACCCTCTCTATAACGACCTACAACGCCACCATCAGTCCCACCCCGCAAGCCAAAGTCCTAGGTGTCACTCTAGACTCAAACCTGTCCTTCCAACCCCATGTCCAATCGTTGGCAAACTCATGCAGGCTGCACCTCCGCAACATCTCCAAAATACGTACGTTCCTAACCCCAGACACTACTAAACAACTCGTTCACTACCTTATTATCTCACGCCTGGACTACTGCAACTCCTTTCTCACCGGCCTACCTCATCACAGGCTATTCCCGCTTCAGTCTACCCTGAACTCAGCGGCCACACTCATCCACCTTACTAACCGCTCCGCTTCTGCCACCCCCCTCTGTCATTCCATCCACTGGCTCCCGATTGTCCAACTCATTAAATTCAAACTACTAGCACAGACATACAAAGCCATTCATAATGCTGCCCCAAACTACCTCACCGACCTGATACCCAAATACCACCCTACCCGTAATCTTCGCTCCTCACAAGACCTCATACTTTCTAGCTCCCTGGTCTCCACCTCCCACGCACGACTGCAGGACTTCTCCAGGACTTCCCCCATCCTCTGGAACTCACTACCCCAATCCATCAGACTGTCTCCTACCCTCCTCACCTTTAGGTGCACCCTAAAAACTCATCTTTTCAGGGAAGCCTATCCCGCCCTCACCTAACAGCCGATCTCCTCCACGGCCACTTCCTCCTGTACCACTATCCTCTCCCTCTTAGACTGTAAGCTCGAAAGAGCAGGGCCCTCGACACCCTCGTGTTTTGTTTTGTTACTGTATTGTCTCATGTTCTGTCCCCCACTATAATGTACAGCGCTGAGCAAACCTTTTAACGCTATATAAATACTGTATAATAATTGAGAGTCTAGTTATTTTCCTGCAAGAAAAAATAAAACACTTACATATTTCCATTTCCCAAATAGAAGGTCTTCCGTTATATCTTGACCACAAGGTATATTGATTGTTTCTCCATAAATTGCACTAACTGTATGTAATCCAAAACCTACAAAGAAAATGTAAAACGGTCACAAAAAGAGAATAAGCAAGTCAAAATAGCATTAGGTAAAGTGCAAAAAAAAAAACAAGGAAATTATTAGTTATACATTTATTTTACATAGAACGGAAAAGAGCATTTTAATCACAGGCAGACACCTAATGATTTGTCTCTACTATTTGAGTTGGAGTTGTTAAAAGTGAGAAGGATTCCAAAACTTTGTTTTCAGGTCACTCATGATTATCTATACCAAATGTTTAGCCACCATAACAAGTTGTACAATAGAGTTAACAAGAAAAGTCTTGATAATAATAATGATAGTAATAATAATAATAATAATAGCAATAAAAATAATATTAACCCTGTTGTGTCCAGGGGTTATCAAAACCTTTATGACCAGGCCACATTTTGAAGGTTTAGTATGCAGTGATTTACTTAACCATATTTTTTTCAATCACTACATACCAAAATTTTCAGACTTTTTTAAAGTACATATGAGACCTCAGTTTGATAATTTTTAAAAATAATCCGATTATTTATAACAGGCAGTAAAACTGAGAAAAGTGCATGTATAACTAATACAATTAAGGCTAAATTTAGATTAAAAGGCTTTATAATTGTAAATACCTGCAAGTCTTACCCTTAAAAGCCAATTCTTAAGGTTAGTAACTAACAGTGACAAATCAGAATTCAACTTGTTTGGGACTGACTTGGGCAAAGTAGACATTTCATTGACTGTTATAGATCAATATACAAAAAAGTAAACCTTTGCCCGATCATGCACTCTATTCTAAACTAGCAATAAAACATTTTAAAGCAAGCCTCAATAAGCAATGTGAAGAAAATTAATTTTAAAAGTTGACAACTCTGGCAGAATGCAGTATGGAAAAACCTACAATCCTTGAGTTTCCCGCACCGCATTTAAAATGTACTGCATTTATGATCTGCAGCGGGTGTCAATGGTAAGTTAACAATGCCCAAAATGCAGATTGTAAATGCAGTGTGTTTGCCTGCACTGGATAGCATAGTACAGAAGTACCATGCCATCTTGCTAAAACATGTTTTTTAAAGTAGTGCATGCACTACTTTTGGTGCAGTCCAGTTCGATTAAGCCCATTCAAAATGAATGGGCTCAAATCATACCACATATGAATAGTACTGGAGCAAGCAGCGCATTCCTGGTGTGAACTGGCCCTGAGAGCAGATGCCAATCTTCTAATATAAACGATCAGCAGGTGTTTCTAAGCTGTTAGGAACCTAATGAAGTCAGGTTTTAGATCATTTGTTGTGACCTTTGAGGAAATTTGCGAATAAACAACTTCCTAAAAGCAGATACAGAAACCAGGGATGGCATGTTATAAATGCGTCATTACTGTTACTGTAGTCTGCACTTTACAAATACGAACTCTTCATTGTAGAAGGGCTCAAACTCAAGTTACAGTGAGAGCTGGTTAGCACAGGGCAGAAAAAAAAACCCTGTTAGGCTAGGTATGTTTTTACACACACACACTCACACACAAAAACAAATCATAAAAAAAACTATTAACAGCACTTTAAAGTAAATGTATGAACCTTGTGGAACCCGCATGTACCTGTGTTCAAATCAATCTCTCTTTCCCTGTACAGCACTGGATTCCTAGGACCATGCTACACAGTGCTACAACTTCTCTCCAAATAAACATTAAGACTAGCCATATATGTGTAGAATTATTTCATGTAGCTTCAAAGGCTGAATGAGAAAAATCAATATATCCCTCCATCCAAGCTACACTGCGTGGATGGAGGAATCTGAACTGCTGGTTATTGTATTCAGACAGCTACAACACTTGCAACTTTCTGGATACTGCAAAAAAGTGACATCTGATAAAATACAGTACAGTTCGTACAACAATTTTCCACAAGGCTCAGTCGATTTTTAAATTGACTTTGGTGGATCTGGGAGGTGCTGACAGGGCCACCTGTCCTACTGAGTTCCTATTGAGGCTCTAACCAGTTTTAAAACTAGGTGGTACAAGGTTTAATCTCACTTTGGAGAGTCCTTATGTGCATTCTGTCCTTATAATCCAAGGGTTCCACAAGGATTGCTCTGAACACTAACACAGGTACTTGGAATCATCAACATGTAGGTACTGTTGCAAACGCATGGCCTTTTTAGGCCAGCTATGGTTTACAAAAAAAGAACTCAAGAATTAAGAAGTGAGAAGCAATAGAGAGTGTCAAAAGTTAGCATCATGCTTATAAATCGACCTTAAGGTGGAACTTTAGTCAGAAAATGAAGTCCTGCTAGATCACTTCAGGCTGGCTCCTTTTGCAAGTATACCTATGTAAAACATTAAAAATAATTGCCTATGCTGTTTAAAACGCAGTAATACGCTGTCTCACCCTGATCTGCACATGCTCAGTTGCTCTTTACTTTTTGGCACTGTGCCGAAAATGTAGAGGTCAATCTGCTGACAGCCTAAAGATTTACTGCTCTTCAGGGCTTCAGCAAAATGGCAACCTCCAACAAGAAGAAACAGGAATAATACTGGAGGCACTTTACAGCACACACTAATTTTGGTAGCATAATTATTAATAAGAAATGTATGTTCCTTGTTGAAAAAAATTATTTTTGATAAAGTTGTTATGGGTAAAATTTCCCTTTAATATTTTTATTTGTTAGCCTATAAAAATATTGTAAGTGAGCTTGATACAGCAATTGACAGAGATTACAGAGATCACCATGGCAGCTGTAAAGGGTCATAATTGTGCCTACATTCTATCTGTATGGAAGTATCGATCAAACATTGGTGCAGTTACTTTGCACAAACATTATCTAACAAGCTTGGTAAAGCATATCTTCAAATATTTACTTTGGAAGCTGAATGTACTGCAGTTGGGAAAAAAATATTTTGTACAGAATGTTGTGGGAAGCAGCGTTTGCATGTGCTTGAGATTCATCCAAATGATGAGTGATAATTGTTTAAAAGAAAGAAAGCAATTCCGTGATATGCCTAGTGATGAGTAAACTATATTTAATTATTGTATTAAAGAAAATATCACCATTTGATAAATGTATACCAGTCAACAGACTGTTCTTAAACAATTATAATAGTAGTAGTACCAATTGCATTTTTTCCCACTCAGGCTTGCTATAATGCCAACATATCATTAATGGACAAGACCACCTCTACTGGGATTATTGAAAGCAGCTTTGGACAGACTTGACTTTTAAAAACACCCTGCTACTGTGAACCGGTTACTAATAGGATTATTTTTATAAGAAAAAGGTAGACAATAGGCCCCTTGCCTATCAAACTAAAAAGATAATGTTATACTTGGGTTGATAACATCTTCCAACTCATAGCACTCTTCCTCCTGCCCACCCACTCCAGGGAAAGAAGCCTCCAACTGTCTTTCTCTTGCGTCCTTTGTGTACAGTTTGCAGCTAAGGGTCTGATTTACAAATTTTCATGTAGTTGTATGTTGTGAAGGTAGCTTATTTATTTTGACTGGTCTATCCATACATGCAAAATGGGACAGCATCCTGTTTAACATTAAAGAACACCATATACTTTGTACACGAGGGTGCATACAGTGCACTGTATACAATATACTGTATGTGTTGGGGGTTCAAATAGGAATGAAATCCAATGTTACTGCAAGAGCTATGGTGTGAATGTGAACGACCGCTTATGAAGAGTGATATGTTGTACAACAGAGAAATATAACTGCACAGATACAAAGACACTGAACTACATAGATGTTAATATTGTTCTGACACCATCACTGATTCTATCCTCCAAGCAGAACCTGTCATTCTGAACTTGTAAAGCCAGACAAAGAAAAGGTAGAAAAGCTTTTTTGAACCAGACAATATTTCATATCTCTTAATTACCATAGCTCCCCTACATTTGAAAATAGCAATACATCACACTTGTGTGACCATCTATGTCAATCCACCATGTTGTTTTCACATCCACAAAATCCAGCTCCAATATTTAATACAAATTAGAATCAAATATAGAACCATAAAAAACAAAAGAGTGATGGCAGAAAAAAAGACCAAGTGGTCCATTGGATCTGTTCCTTTACATATATTGTGTGTGTGTGAATATACACAGCTCAAAAAAAATCAAAAGAACACTATTTAATCAGAGTATAGCATCAAGTCAATGAAACTCCTGGGATATTGATCTGGTCAGTTAAGTAACAAAGGGGGTTGTTAATCAGTTTCAGCTGCTTTGGTGTTAATGAAATTAACAACAGGTGTACTAGACGGGCAACAAAGAGACGACCCTCAAAACAGGAATGGTTTTATATGTGGAGGCCACTGACATTTTTTTCCCTACTCATCTTTTATGACTGTTTTTTACTAGTTTTGCATTTGGCTACGGTCAGTGTCACTACTGGTAGCATGAGATGATACCTGGACCCTACAGAGCTTCCACAGGCAGTCCAACTCCTCCAGGATGGCAAATCAATATGTGCCATTGCCAGAAGGTTTGCTGTATCTCCCAGCACAGTCTCAAGAGCATGGAGGAGATTCCAGGAGACAGGCAGTAACTATAGGAGAGCTGGACAGGGCTGTAGAAGATCCTTAACCTATCAGTAGGACTGGTATCTGCTCCTTTGTGCAAAGAAGAACAGGAAGAACACTGCCAGAGCCTTATAAAATGACCTCCAGCAGGTTACTGGTGTGAATGTCTCTGACCAAACAATCAGAAGCAGAATTCATGAGGGTGGCCTGAGGGCTCGACATCCTCTAGTGGGCCCTGTGCTCACTGCCCTGTACCACAGAGCTCGATTGGTATTTGCCATTGAACACAAGAATTGGCAGGTCCACCACTGGCGCCCTGTGCTTTTCACAGATGAGAGCAGATTCACCCTGCGCACATGTGACAGATGTGAAATGGTCTGGAGAAGATGTGGAGAACGTTATGCTGCCTTTAACATCGTTCAGCATGACTGTTTTGGTGGTGGGTCAGTGATGGTCTGGGGAGGCATATCCATGGAGGGACGCATAGACCTT